ATGCTCATCAGCGCACTCAAAGCCTCTTGCCTAGCAGCCCTAGACTGATGTCCAAACAGATCCTTGAGACTGAGCAGTATTTCTGTTGTAGTGTCCATAGACTGATGCTAATGTTGAAGAACATTTGACATGGATGCCAGAATGTAACACTTCGCCATCTCATCAGCCTTTTTCCACCGAGCATACTCCTCTTTCTCCTGATCAGGAGCATCAGCCGCCAGCACTGCCGGGCATGCATCCGTGATCGCAACCTTATAACCCTCAGCATTCAACACTATGTCTAAGTTCCTCTTCCAATCAATGTAATTAGGACCAGTAAGCTGATTTTCTTTTAGAATGACAGACAGCGGATTGAACGACATGATGAATATCCTGAGAATCATGCAAATAAATTTTACATATTAAACACTTTTGAATTTAACTGCTAATATTGATATCCTCAAAACAATATTAAACTAAATTCACCGACATCTATTACACTTCGTGAGAATGCATGCTATGTGGGTCGCCCTACAAACTCGCATTTTGTAAGAGAAGAGCTTTTTAAGGGCCCATTAATTTCCATAAGTCAAAACCAAATTCATGACGAACGAAATTAATTGTCGGTCTCCATTTGGCCATGCAATGAATCCTGGGACTCCGTATAGAAAAATCGCATTCTAAGTGAATCCCATTTCTCGATTAAGAGGTCGTCAAAATTGATTACACGTCTCCCGTGGGGAGGCCCATGCGCGTTCTTAAGATTCCCTCTACAACAACAACAACATACCCAGTACATTCCTAACAGGTTGGGGTCTGGGGTGTCAGTTGTACGCAGACCTTACCCTTGTAATACAAGGAGGCTGTTTCCGTAGCGACCCAAGGTGCATTGCGCCGTTTGATATATATATATATATATTTTTTTTTCTAGAAACTTCACTAATAGAAGAAGCACTAGAATTTAATTGAGCCCTTTTGAAATTTGTCTAATTTTAGAAATTTGTCTTGATAATTTCCTACAACCAACTTTAGCAATGTCACCCGTGGGGGAGTCCATAACCGCAATTAATTGATTTACCGACAAATTAGAAATGGAGGCCTTAGGAATTTTACACTTAACTTTAGTTTAAAATCACTTCTCAAACTTAGTATAATTTAATGAGGTTTTTTAACTATTTATGCAATTCCAAATTAATCTATGTTAATGCAATAATTAATTAACATGCAATTATAAATTAATCTATGTCAATATAATAATTAATTAACATGTACAATAATTTATGCAATTCTAAATTAATCCATGCCACTGCAATAATTAATTACATGCATAATTTATTGACACAATTCTAAATTAATCCTATGCATTACATAATTAATTAACATGCATAATTAATCATGCAATACTAAATTAATCCCATGCAAGAACATAATTAATTAACATGCATAAATAATACATATTTAATTGGCATAATAAATTTAAATAAATAAATTCACTATTATGTCCATTAAATATTTAGTCTCCTTAAACAAGGAAACTCTGACAGTTCTTTCTCTGTTCAACTGGAACTCCTTTAAGCAGTAGAATCCTAGTTGATCTTGTACTGCTTGGACATCAAGGAAAAAAACACCAGCCACCATCAGCCGCCGGTCGCCGCCGCCACCGGTTTGACAGAAAAAAAAAAAAACGAG